ATCCAAAGAAGAATCAGCAATATTGTTGGTCCTGATCTGGCAGCCCAGCTTCAGTCACTTTCCCACCACCACTCTGTCTTTTCTATAAATACTTTCATGGTAATTGTTCAGATGAGGTCTTCGCTATGGTACCTAGAATTTCTGAAATTAAGCGTGGTACTAGACTGGCGTTGAGATCTCATCAATTTACAGTTGAGCTGGCTAAATGTAGCTGTAAGTTCTTTGCTAACAGTTTCTTTTCTCACACTTCTCACTTATGGATCTTTCTTTTGGCTCCATGCTTTCCAGCCAACTTTAATCTGCAAAAATTTAAATGCAATGTCAATCACTATCTACTTTCCTCCTGATTACTCTCTTTTCTTTCTGCTCATCATTAATGTTTCTGTTCCTAATTCTTCCTCACCCTGTAATCCTTGTGCATTAGTGGCTTTACTGTGTTGTGGGCTGGTTTATGCACTTCTCAACTTGTTTCAGATGTTAGTAACATCGGTGTGTGAGTTGAGAAATAAACATGTGACTCCTAAAAATACCCACAGCAAAAAGGTGGACTCAGGCTGTGAGTCCTTGTAAAGAAATGGAAAGAAACGACAAGAACCAATATAAATGTACAACAAATGATAATGCATTAACAACAAAGGTTTACAAGTGACAAAGACAATAAAGTGTGTAACAAATGAATGTGAAAACCGTTTGGGTCCAAAGTATGTGTAGTGAGTGAATGTGCATATGTATGTGTGTGTGTGTATTGTTCATGTGTTTCCTAAAGGGAACACATTCTCTGTGAGAGGTTACATGTTGACAAATGAGCATATAAGGTAAGAAGAGAATGAGAAAAAATATTGCAGAGAATTTATAGTCTGGAGAATGTTTCCTAGTCAGTCAGTTATGTGCCATGCAGGATGCACGCTTAGGCAATCATGTATCTTTCGATATATGACTGACCAAGCCAATTTTTTCCTGCAGTAGGTTGCCATTTCTTTTTGTGGTAGACCAGTTGTCATCCAAGGCTATAGAACCCGGTCTGTCCTGCTATTTACCTATAGCTGGGGGGAGAAGAAGAGGATTCATACTTTTCTTAAGGGTATTAGCATGTAAGTAAATGTAATGGATTCAACTGGAATTTGAACTTGTCTCTTCAATTCCTCAATCCAAAAGCGTCCTGGGTATGACGATAAACTACATCTGCATCCTGGGTAAGACGATAAACTACGTCCAGCAGCAAGGCCTCTGATAAGGAGGTTTTGAGGAGTGTGGAACCACCTCTTAATTGCTGGTGTTTCCAGGTCCACCATGACCCGGGGTGGTAGCACCAGTTAGGTTCCCAGCTATGGGCAAATAGTTAACTCCAAAACTGGGGTCAAAATACTATGAAAGTGTAAAAATAGGTTTAAATACCAGAAATACTTTATAAACAATTATCAGCAATAAATTTTTGAAGAAAAAAAACTATTACCACCAATACATTTTTGAAAAAAAAACAAAATTACGAACAATACATTTTTGAAAAAAAAAAAAAATATTACCAACAATACATTTTTGAAAAAAATATTACCAGCAATACAGTTTTGAAGAAAAAAATCATTACCAGAAATTTTGTCGGCATTAAATAACCTATTGAGGTTGATATGCCGCAAAACAAAACAAACCAAACCAATCAATCCAAAAATTAGGAGGGCTTAACCTGACAGCTGCTTTGCATGGGGTGATACAGGTTAAAAAAAAATACTTAACCAAAAGTTGATCTTTCATTGCAAATCCCCTTCCCAATGCTACTAAGTGTTACTGTATTATATCCCTTTTTATATCCATGAGAAGAACTCATTTTTGTCATAATTTGTTTGATCTTATCATGACAGTTTTTTTCCAAAATAAACAGATTTCTTTATATTTGTCAGAGGTTTGTTGATCTTTATATTGCACTGTTCAAATTTCAAGACAAACAGAATTCGCAAGTCAATAATTTTCTCTTCGTAATAAAAAGGAAGCCATTTATTGTAATCATAAATAGTATTGTCAGAACAACTTTAAAAAAAATCCTAATAGAAGTTGTCACTTTGATGACTTTTATGAAAATGGACTGAAAACTTAATAGGCTGACTATAAAGGAGTGATGCTAGAGCTGTGAAATCTTGCATGCTTTAATTTTAAAAGCTCACATAATAGAATAGTCATATTGAATGAACCAGAGAGAGAATTCAGCTGTCACGTCATGCCCATTTAAGTTAAATCTACAAGTATTCCCCTTACCACAATGTCAAGGAGAAGCCTGACAGTCCTGAACATCAAAGGAAACTGGCTTAACTGAAAGCTGACAACAGTACAAAGAACATTTTTTCAATTTGACCTTCATTCTTCACCTTCTTTTACTATTTACAAATAAATTAAAAAAAAAAAATTTAACCTATTTTGAAAATATTTGACTTCTGGGTGTTTAATTCTACAAGATAAATTAATACAAAAATATATTTTCCCCTTTAAATATAAAAGAAAGGATCAGTACACACAAACTTTAACATTGCATTTCCTTTCATTGAATGGTTTTAATTTCTAAAAAGCAAAAAATATGTAATTAAATAATTAAGATATGGTATTTCAGAGTTTTTGTGAGGTTTTACAGGTGGTCATCTTTGAATAACATCCTTAATTCCAATATAAACAAAAAATGAACGCAAAGATAATTAGTACAAAGATATATTTTGCATGTACAGATAAAATTTTAAAAATAAAATATACAATATTCAAAGAGTTCATATCAAAAAGTTCTCGTGTTGAATGTCTAAGCCCTTTAGAGAGAGAGAGAGAGAAGGGGGGGAGAAAGAGATTCCTTGTAAATGTGTATGTATCAAGGTGATAAGGTTTGCCTTGATATGTATGTATGTATGTATCTCATTGATTGAAGTAATCCTTTCGTCTATGTCTACATGGCTGAGTGGTTAGAATGTTCACTTTCTAGCCATGAGAATCTCACCACAGTTGATTTGTCAGGAAGGAGACTTCCTGACATTATCAGTCTGGAGGGGGATGATCTCATTATTTTTTTATCATTTTGTTTTTATTTCTTTATGGTAAAATAAAATCTATTTTTAAATACTGAACTTTTTCTTATTTTTCTGTCATTACAGTATCCCTATTGAGTGGATATCAACTTAAAATAAAATTTAATTAACTTATAATTTATGGAGAAAGTTAAAATTTACACAGTATGTAAAACAAATATCAATTTATTAATCTGTAAAGTTTCATCTTTGTAGCATGGAGAGTTATAAAGTTATTCAAAATTTTATACTGTTCCAGTAACACACATTCAAATAGAGTGAAGTGTTTTTCTGTTAAATATTCATGTGCATTCTTGTGTCTACTACTACATCTGCATGCCAGATATAAATAAAAGGACAATGCATCAAATAGCCAGTAAGAGCAATAGTCCTAGAAGTAGTTTGAGTAACAGTATGTTAAAGTAGTAAGAGGAGTCATTAAAAAAAAAATTCCTGTGTCTTTTCTACTTCTTGTTGTATGAAAACTATCTTCATAAGGAAAATTAGACAAAAAAGATATAATAAAAAAAGAAGCAATTTATATTTAATACCTCAACAATATCTGGAATGTAAAATTTTGGGATTTACACTTTATCTGCTTTCTTCATTTCTTTTTAGTTTTCTTTGTGGACAAGTTGAATACTTTTGCAAAGCTCATAACTACAAACATTGCTGCCACATCTGGTCTGGTGCTTTTGTTATGTTTTTAAAGATTCTTAATAAGATACGAAGAAGAATCTGCAATGTTATTGGTCCTGACATGGCATCTCAGATTCAGTCACTTTTCCACCATTGTAATTTCCCTGTACCTTTTCTATAAATATTTCCATGTTAATTATTCTGATAAACTTTCTTCTATGTTACCTAGACTTTATGAATTTAAGCGCAGTACTAGAGCAAGGTCTCATCATTTTACAGTTGAGATGGCTAGATGTAACTGTAGGTTCTATGCAAAGAATTTCTTCTCTTGCACTTCTTGCTTGTTGAAATCTCTTCTGACTTCTTGCTTTCCAGCCAACTTTGAACTTCAAAAAATTTAAATGCAATGTCAATCATTATCTATTGTCTTTTTCATTCCTGTTCTTTTATTGATCTCTGTCCTTATTAATGTTTTTTTTTATTCTCTCACACAGAGTAGTTCCTTGCATCTTGGTAGCTTTATTGTCTTGCTTTGGGTGAAATAATAAAAAAAAATATAAAAATAAAATAATCTATTTTAAAAATGCAGTATTGCTGCATGATCTTCACCTTACAGCCTTGACAGAGTGCAAAATCATTTATGCATTCTTGTGCAGTATAACTCATTTTTCACACTACAGCTCCTTTGCCACAGACACAACATTACAAGCCTATCACTATTTCTATGGCAAATGTTCAGATGAGCTCTATTCTTTAGTGCCATCTGCTCAGACATTTACAGCCAAGACCCACTTTACTACATCCACAGAGTTGAATCATATTCCCTTTGCAAGAGGTGTGTTCCACTGAGAAAACTTCTTCCTAAGAATCACTCCTCTGTAGAATAGACTCTTGCATGGACACATCCCCAAGCATTACAATCTTAACCTTTTCAAGTCTAGGGTCATCTATCCTCCATATGCTCATAATGTTCGCTTCCTACTTTCTTCTTTTATGTCCATATGACACATCCCATTCAGTAACACTTTATCTTGAGTAATCTTTGGGCCTTGTATTGGGTGAATGTTAGTAAAAAAAAACTTTTAAACTATCTTCTTTAAACAAAGATCTCTATACTAGATCCATGTAGAGCAAGAAATGTCATGCCACATTGAAACCCATATTGACCTTGTAGATTTTTATGAAAAATAAAAGGCAATAAAAGAAAGAAAAAAAACCCCCAAAAAACAACAATCTGCCCCGAGAGAAAAGACATTATACATTGAAAAAGAAATTTCTGGAGATGGTTGGCGTAAAAATCTTGTGTAAACGTCATCGAAAAGGAAAATGGAAAACTTTATTATCTCCCCTGGTAAGCCTTCTTCCTGTCAATGTCGTTCATCCAATATGGATTCTACGGACGGTGGATGCCGAGGGTTACCCAAATTACAAGAATTATTTCGCCGTCAAAGGCGTGACTCAGAGGTTAGGAATCTTTGTTTGATTTTTGTCTTATCTTGTCTTAGTTAAAAATTTGATATGATTTGGTGATAATCTAAAATATTGCTATGATCATCCTTTTCACTTTAATAATGAAATAGTTTCCGAAAAGATTGATTAAATTATATTTTTTCTTTTTTAAAACATTCCTTTTTAGTTATTGCTTCACCTTTAATAATACCGTCTTCTTAAATTAATGATATTTTTTGAGAATCCTTGATTGATTTATGTTAATTTTATTCTTTGTTTTCAAAGTGTTCATTATTCTTTAATAATAAAAAATAAATGTCTTCTAGTGTACTTATCAGTTGTTTTTTTATAGATTTTTTAAGTTAAAAATTTGATGATCTGATTTTGATTAAAAATTATTCCTTCTTCCATTTTTCATAAGTGTTTCTCTTTTTTTATATCAAAGAAAATCTCTGTCTTTAATTAATTAGTCAAGAAAAACAAGTATATCTTCATTTTATGATTAATTAATAATAATAATTACTGTTTCTTTACAAAATATTGGTAAATAAAATATACATAAATATAATTATTTACTTTTAAAAGTAAAGAAATCGGGATTAGTTTATTAAAAATATCGCAGTGTAAGGTGGTTTGAATTGAATACTTTTTAAAAAAATTTATATCGCGAAAAATTAATTTTTAAATGCCACTTCCTTTTCTTTTTTAAAGAATTTATTTGCTTATTCCAATTTTGAAGCAGAATGATGTCTAAACAAACATAATTGTTTAAGCAATATTTTTAAAACATTTATTAATTATTTGTTTTTTGATAAAAATCTTAGTTTAATTTTTTTGTAAAAAAAAAAAAAAATAATTAAAAAACACTTTAATTGAATAAGAAATTTTTTTTTCTATTTTTTTTTTTTATACCTGCAGTAATGCACTGAATATATATATCACTTCTAGCATGTTTTTAAGTTAATACAAATGAAAACAATCCCTGTCAATCGACGGTGCTTCGAATTAAACATCGAACTTCGTCCGATGCAGCTGTGGCCACTTTTCGGCTGGATTTTTGTAGATTCGGCTATAAACAGAACTTACGTCGACGTTTTTTTTTTTTTTTTTTTCTTTTTTTATTCATTGTGAAAGCCGGATCTATGTCTACCTTTTTGATAATTCCTTGTAATTTCTGTCCTGTGCGATTTGTTTAATGTTAAATAACTCAACAAGATAGAAATGTCATGAAACTCATTAACCAAAACAACACTAATATTTATTAGAGTCCCTTCCATTTTAGCGTTCGAAACAATTTTCGCATACCAAATATTGAATTATCTCCCTTAGAATATTACTTTACCACGCCTCATATTTTGGGCAACTTTTTTTGTTATAAATAAATTAAAAAAAGTAAAATGCTTCAAAATTTGTAACCATTGTAATTAAGAATTTTATTTTATTTTTCATGCATGATTTTTGATGTCCAAAAAAAAGAAGCTAGGTTCGACATTTTCTTCATTTTAATGGTTTATTTTCTTTTTATAAATTATTTTTGGTCACAGATGTTGAATTAATTTAAATGTATTCTCAGAATATGAATTTAAATAAAGTAAGTCTTATTGGTTACAAAAAGTTGATTTTATTTTTTCATTTATGGCGAAAAATGTGTCATCAGAATATGAAGCTAGCTAAAGCAATCTAAGGGAGGTAATTCAATATTTGGTATGCAAAAAATGTTCGAACGTTAAAATGAAAGATGTCCCAATAAAAGTCAAGCTGTTGTCCGTGCTGAAACGTGTTTGACGTCACTGAAACATAACCTGCGGTAAAGTGGCGGTGGCAGTCTGGTATTTAATTTGATTTTTTTTTTTTTAATTCATAAATTTTTTTCGTGTCAGTTGTGATGAAACATAACTTCCTTCTTGTGTAAATTTGGAATTTAAAAAAAAATTTTTCTTAAATCTTAAAATTATTTCATTTTTTCTGACCTCATTAAAAACACTCTAGTCTAGCTTCTTTCTTTGCTGCTAATTTTTTTGAGGGCTGGGTAGGAAATATGTCAGAAAATCTCTTAATCCGTCCCCTACACACCACACATCTTGTTTGTCTTTAGTGGTTCTTCTGTTTAAGTTGTCCACCAGGTGAAAACTGCTTTCATCTGATGGGACTGCCTATGTATCATCATACCAGTCATTAACGATCTCCCTCATCCCCTATCAAACAACTTAATGTTCCAGTAGATGAAGCTTGAATACTGGTTAGTTGTTATCAGTCATTGAAATACAAAATCTTTTTAGAAATTTCTGATTTATAACCTTTATTTTTCAGGCTCTGTGCTTTGAAATAGTCAAGCAGAAAAAAGCCTGAGAATGAATAGATGAAAGTGACTGCTTTATTTATTTATTTATTAGTCAGTAGAAATTTGACAGTGGCTGCTTTTCTTTTTCTTTTTTTAACTAAACTCTTCTTTATTAGGATAACAACTCATAAATAGCAAGGGTGAAGAAACGTTTTCAGTTCAAGCCACTTTGCAAAATCAGTATTTCAGTGACCAAACATCAAAATACCTCTTTTCTAACCTAATGATTTAAGATTATTGTGCTAGTCTCACTTTACTTTAGAACTGACACGAATAAGAAGAATACTTTACCAGTATAATAAATATATTTATTTACACCTAAACATGAATACAACAGTTAACATAAGCACAATGTCCTTTCCTATATATATAGAGAATATGTCAGGCGGACTTACCCATCTGGTGGAGTGAAATAGGGCTAGATAAATTGTACCTTTAAAACACTTAGCAACTGGTACTGTGGACTTACTCATCTGGTGAGTGAAACAGGGCTAGGTAGTTTGTACCTTTAAAACCCTCAGCAGCTGGTACTGTTGTCAGCGGAGAGAATTTCTTCTATGTTATTTCGGAGCCAGCCTGGCCCCTTCTCTGGTGGTGGTCAGCTTTTTCTGAATCCCCATGGTTTTATTAACCAATGAGAGCCTGCCTAACATCATGTGACCAATATCTATATATAGGAGCAGATGAATTTTATAAACCCAAAAAGATTAAAAGTAATAATCAACGTTATTTATTGAGTTAAAAGTCATTCTAATGCCATACATGATACGCACTTGGGTGATCATATCTCTTTCGATTCATAACTAAGCAAATTCTGCTGCAGTAGTCTGCCGTTTTTTTCTACAGTAGACTGGTTGCCAACCAAGGCTGTAAGGCTCAGTCTATTCTGCTATTTAACTTGTAGCTGAAGGTACAAGAGAGGGATTTATACCTTTGCCAAGGGGATTTGTGTGTGAGTGAATGTTATAAACCTGACTTGAATTCAAATTTGGTTCTTTTGTTTTCTGACCAAGAAGTAGATGATATCCCTAGACATAGGTAGTGGAATGAGAACAGTTTACCACCCTGGGGATTAAATAAAGGGTTCAGTTCAGAATTTCCTCTAGGTTAAAGATAAGGACAATAGTCTGAATATAAATAGTGTAAATAATTAGAACTATGTTATTGTTTTGTTTCTTAGAATTAAAACAATATATTTTTTTATTTTTAGACTCTGAATGAATCTCCTGACCTGGAATTCTCTTATGGAGATGCTGATTTTTATGACAATGAAATTGCAGGTAAGAATTGTTCGCATTTTTGCTACTAGTGTTTCATTTTAATTTGACTTAGACTTTTTAGAAATTCTGTAAAAAAAAAAAAAATATATATATATATATATATATAAAGAATAACATAAAAAAAAGCCAGAAGTTGGTGTCAAGTGAATTCTGTTTTCCACAAGGTAATGGTGAGATTAACCATTTCCATACAGGAAACATTTAATAACTGAACAGTTATCGTTACTGTCAGTTGAAATTTTTTTCCTAAAACAGTTTTCCGGGAAAATTACACTTAACTCCACTGTTATCACACTTTTTAATATTCATAGGAGTTTCCTTCCTAACCATTTGTTTAAGGTAGTGTGGAAAGTTAACATCTTGATCATATCATTAGTTTTTCTTCTCATTATATGTGCAATACATTTTTTTGTTTGCTGCTGTTGGAAACCTTCAAGTGATGTGGTTTTTGTTATTTGGTAAAGCTCTTTCTTTGTGATACTTTGTTTTTTCTTTGCATCAAAGATTTAACTTCTTTCCTAAGAACAAATCTTAAAAATGAATCCTGTGCTTTTGAAACCAAATATTATAGGTCAACTGGAGAGAAATGCTGTTTTTTTGTTTTTTTTTTTCCCACCTGAAGCAAGGTGATAAAGCCACTAAGACATAGAATCTGAGCAAAACATTGAGGAGAGAGGACCATAAAAGAACAGGATTCAAGGAGACAGATCTGATGATTGACATTACATTTAAATTTTTGAAGATATTTGAGAGGAAAGCAAGAAGCTGAAGAGAGTTCCACAAGTGAGATGTGCAAGAGAATTTCAACAGTAAAATGATGAGACCTTGCTGCCAATCTAGTACTGCACTTAAATTTGTATCTAGTCTTTACAAATTTAAGTGCAGTACACCATAACATAGCTTCCCTGTGCCTTTTCTTTAAATATTTTCATGGTTCAAATTTGTACATTTTTAGTGATTAATTAGTTAAAAGGACAAGGCTTTGAGGAAAGCAAATCATTTTTTTTTTTTTTTAGTTGACACCCTTCTACCTTAAAATCAGCTCTGAATTATAGCATATAAGACTCAATAAAACAAAGATATTATTTAATTTCAAAAGCTTTTAGTTGCTTTTATTTGTTTGTATGAATATGGATAATATTGTCTGAAAGCAAAAAACATTTTCGATGAAAAATAAATTTTTACAACAATTATTTATTTCTTAATTATTTTATTTTTTACATTAAAGTTGTTAAATATTCTAAAATTAATGAAAATGTTGTACAGTTTAGTCAATGGTGTTATTAAGTAGATAAATATCATTACAGATTATAAAATAAAGCTGGTTACAATCAGCAATCTGTAAATAGATAAAAAATTAATATAACATGGTCTTTTTGTGTTCAAAAATAGCTTAATTCAAATATACGGAAGATCAAAAGCATCATGAAAACAATAGTCTGTCACGTGGTTTGTGTTGGTATAAATGTTGTTCTCTACTGTTAGACAGCCTTTTCATTAGAATTATATCACTTTTGTCCATCCATATGATAAGTTATCGTTTCGTAAGCTGTCATATGGGATGAAAGTATTTATCTGCACATAGTCATGCGTCACTGCTGAAGATCTGCTGTCTCTTGTTTTAAAGTACATTTTTCAGCGCATAAAGTAATGTTTTCTTTTAAAATATATTAAATAAACTTTTAAATTTCTAATTTTGTAAAAATAAATTTTTAAAAAAGTGTAACTGTTTCTTGACAGAATTTTAAATGGAAAAATTAACTGAATTAACTTAATTTAAATAAAAAGAAAATTTTTTTTTTTTTTTTTTTGACTAAAAAAAACATGATTTTAAACGACAATTTTGGACATGCTTGAAATGATTAAAAAATGTAAAAAAATAATCAAAAAATACTTTGATCTTTTCTCTTTGATAACATAAACATTCAGACAAATAAAAATTATTTTCGTCAAGTTTAAGGTCATTTTTATCATGCTATGCTCATTTTCCAGCGATCTGATGCCAGTACCTATATAAAATCTTTGACTTTCTATATAAATAAAGAATAATATTAATCAAATGTTCAAGTAATTATTTATTTACACTATTTACATTCAGATTATTGTCCTCATCTTCAACAAAAATAAAGATAATAGTCTGAATGTATGAGATGTATTCAAAACTTATCCAATTTTTTTTCCAACCAAAACTAATACCACATGAGTAAAATCATTTGGGTAGGAGGTGACCCCACCCTTCTTGTGCATGCGTGAAAATTTTTGTGCTAGTAGGCTGTATCAATTCCTGGCTGTTATGCCTAGAGTACAGATGTGTAATGTGCACTTGTTGGATTTTTGTTTTCATGCAAGGTGACCGGACGCATCAAGTAGAGATATCAAGTTTTACCAAAAGCTTGGTGATACTCAAGCTCAAAACCATCCAGAAGATTCAGCATACCTTTGGTAATGATGCCATGGGCAAAACTCGGATCAAAGGGTGGTACAACCACTTCCAACATGGCTGCACCTCAGGGATGAGTGAGGCACGCTAAGGCAGGCCATCCAAAAAGCCAAAGCAAGGAGCCGATTGAGAAAGTTTAGTGAATAGTTGTGGAAGACCATCGTATAACAATCCAGAAAAATTGCTTACAAATTTGGAATAAGCACAGGATCAGTGCATTTCATTTTAATGGAGGATATGTGGAGAGTGTTGGCAAAATTTGTGCCCGATAATGCAAACTATTCTTGACAAGAACAGCACACTACTTGTTTGAAAGGCTCCCTACTTTCCTGACTTTGCACCCTGTGACCTCTGTCTCTTTCCCAATCTGAAACTATGCTGAAAGGGAAACAATTTGAGTTGCAAGAGGAAATTATGATCATTGCTTTTTGAGACAATAAACATTGTCAAGGAGTGAAGGTAGTTACAAAAAGCAGTGTCATGAGGAAAAACAACGTCCTTTTGATACACTGTCTTATTGTTGGTACACTTATCCATGTTTGCCAATGTTTTTTTTAATACCAAAAGGTCAACTAATTTTTTAACACACTTTGTAAATAATGTAAATAATTATAACTCCTCATCCCAGAAATTCAGACAGCAATTATTTTAATGAATAAAGGAAATAAAGTTCATATATAAAATTAGAGAAAAAACTGCATAAAAACAACAGTGTGTTAATCACCTTCAGTGATGATGCATTCATTTCTTCCATTGTGATGGCCATCATTTCATGACTTTCAGTGTTAATTGCTTTGTTGAATCCTTTTGAAGATAAATTTCATGATAGCAAGCATGTACTTTCATCAAATCAAAAACAATTTTTTTTTTTCATAATTTGGATCATTCAAACATTTCAGTTGCCTTTTCCATGTGTTTAAAAACTTTGAGTCCTTTTATATTTAAGCACTGACTGAGAACATTGGTTTCAGCAATTCCATCTTTTTAATTTTGACTTTCAACTTTTCCCATTTCAATCAATTCTTTGTTAGTTAGTTTTTCATTACTAGTGTTTAGTAAATCATTAATGTCATTTGAAATCTCAAAATTCATGCAATTAACAGTTTATCATTTTCATTTTGCACAGTTTTTGTAGGTTTGTCAAACTTTAAAAAAAATAAGAAATTGAAGGCAAAAAAAACTTTCTTTTAAATAATTTTTTCTTTGGCATTAAAAAAAAAAATATTGTATCTAAGATGTTGAAATTCTTGAATTGACAGCTCATCTTGAACCAATAAGTTTTTCAATTGTGTTATGAAGCCTGTAAGCCTTGAATGTTGCCATGATGTTTTGGTTCATTGGATACAAGAGTGAAGTGGTGTTTGGAGACAACATTATCATTTTGCCATTAGAATGATAGTGTTTAAAAAGTGTTGGATATGAGGCAACATTATCTATCAGCAACAGAACATTAAAAAGAATTTCATTATTTTTGTAATATTTTTTCAATTTCCAGTACAAAAAAATAATGTGGAAACCACACCTAAACTTTATTGTGTTTTCAAGTGATCGGAAGTGTTGTTTCTTTTGCAAGCTCTTGTGTTTCCTGCAAGATAAACTAGCCTCGATTGTAATTTGTAGTCACTCTCCATATTTCTTCCTAGCAGCAGTTAATCTGATGTGTGACATCATTGACTCTTCTTTGGTGATAAAATGTCTGGCTGGCATTCACTTCCAGAAAAGTCTCATTTCATCAGCATTAAGAAGCGCTTTTTCAATAATTTCTTGTAATTCTTCAGGTATCTTATTTTCTTGTGCATAATATGAGGAAATTTTGAATGAAAGTTAAACTAAAAAGAGAGGGGATTGTATTATAGACAAGTTTACATTTTCAGAGACTTTTACTCAACTTAAAAAAATCTCTTATTTGAAACAGCAAGATTGTAACTACACTCAGCACAATATATAATAAAATATAAAGTAAGCAGGTGTTGATAACAATTGTTTAGAAAAGGTATTTGATATGTTGGCAATATTCATTCTTAATAAAAGACAATATTTTTTTTTTTTATTTTCATACATTATTAATCAATAGAAATATAGTAAAATCATATCAGACAAAAAAGTATTATGGATTAATTAATACCTTAAAATGTATTACTGGGTATGTCTAGTTAAAAATTCAAAAATAAGTTTTGAAACACAATGGTTAAACATCTGGTTCATTTCTCTTCTTTAATATTCTGAAAAATTAAAAGTTTTCTTGCATGCAGTATTGCTGCCATATATGTTCTGGTGCCCCTTATGTTTGTCTCAAGGTTCTTGATAAGATCCAGAGACAGATATGCAACATAATTGGTTCTGATCTGGCATCTCATCTGTAGTTGCTCTCTCACAGATGTGCTGTCGCCTCCCTCTGTCTTTTTTACAAATACTTTCATGGTAACTGCTCCAAGGAGTTGCTTTCACTGGTTCCCAAACTTCATGAATTTAAGTGTTCTACTAGGCTGGCATCTCGCTCACACCCTTTCACTGTTGAAACAGTCAAATGTAGCCATCTCTTCTACTCCAATAGCTTCATGTCTCACACCTCTCAACTGTGGAACTCCCTCCCCTCTTCCTGTTTCCCTGATAGCTATAATCTCCAACTATTCAAATGTAATGTCAATCAATGTCTCCAGATGCCCTGATCTATCCCGTATCCTTCTCTTCATCCTTTTCTCTATAATTCCTATTTGCTCTAGCTCTAACTCTCTGTAACCCCTTGCGTGCTAATGGCTTCCTGCCTTGCTTGGGATGAAACGCTTAAAAAAAAAAAAAAAAAAAAAAAGAAATATATGTACAATATTGAGATTTTAATGGATTTTATGGTACAACTTTTGAAAAATATTTACATGGTTATGGCTCTTCTATGGGTTGTATTATTCAGGATGTAATTTCTTCCTTGTTTTTAGCTTCAGAAACATGGGGATGTATTATACACAAAATATGGCAGTTGTTTGCCGCTCCTACATCACTACTTCACAAGTTGAGTGCTTGGCACAGATACACAGCAACAAACCTATAGTAGGCTTTTAACAATCATAAAGCTGAAGTTGGTAAAATGAGATGAGTTGATTGCAAAAATTCATAGTGTTTCAGCAGTATTAGTAACGTATAATTATAGTATGCCAGGATAAAGCAGAGATTAAAATTAATGTCCAGCAAGAATCTTGATCTAATAAGAGTTGATCTGTGGTGTCCCCAATATATACTGGGCTCATCCTAAGAGATACAAAAGTAAGTTTTGGTACTCTTTGTCACGAGATTGTCAAAAGTCTTAAGGAGCAGTGAGAGTTCACTTAAAAGTTAACCTCATAGCCACCAAGTGCAGATTCAAACCCCAAAAGATATTGGTAGGTGCACCAATAAAACAAGGAAATGAACCCAGCTGAACTTAGGATATAGAAACACATAAAAGGAAGTTATATAAATGCCAAACCTATGAAGGAAGAGATAGAATCTCTTACATTCTCACAAGAAGAAGATTGAACATTCAAAGAAAAAGGCAAAACCACTTACTCTCAACATGGCCAAAGTTAATTTGACAGTCCAGAAGTGAATAAACAATTATATATGAAAAAAAAATTTAGTCTCATGTCAGATGTTACTAACATAACATTACAGATTAAAGCAATCAATTCTTATTAATTTGTCTGTGAGTGACACTATCCAACCCAGGGGCTGCTGACTGCATTTTCCTCTTTTGCCAAATTACTTGACAATATAAATTAAAACAGCTTCAAATTGGAAGGCTATTAAGTAGAACTAACAGTCACAAGTTGTGTGTGTGTGTGGGGAGGGTGCTGAAAGTTTTTAACCTGGCCAATTTTCCAAAATCAGAATTTCAACGACCAAACATCAGACTACTGATTTTGGGAAGTGGGTCATGCTGAGAAAATTTTCAGCTCCCCCCACCCCCAATCAAACAATACCATAAAGTTGCTTATTGTTACTATATCTCTTTTTAAAAAAAAATCAACTTCATCGGAGTCTTGAAAGTTTCTGTTTTTTTGTTTTTTTTATAGCTTTCTTAAAAGATATATTCACATTCAATTTACTTGTCCACTTGATTATGTTTTTCCAAAATTTATTTGAAGGTACTTTTGAGAGATTGGGTTATACGACCCAGAAGTAATCCTTATCATGCTAGGGATCTGATCTAAGAATATTCTCCCCTTTAAGATGTATGCCTACATCTTTAATTCTAACTGAATTTACAATTGAATAATGTGAACTGCTATGTAATATCAATCCTTTTCTATCTCAATGAATCCAGGACAATCTCTTCTCAAATGAAGAATAGACTTGAGGCAACATAGATATGGTTCTACAGAAGGATGCTGAGAATACTGTGGACAGAGCATGTAAGCAACAAAGAGATTGCTGAAGCAAAAAGGACACTTATACTTAGAATCAGAAAGAGTTGAAATTTCTGGGATAGACTCTGAGGAAAGAGGGTTTGACAGATTAGACATAGGATATATTGAAAGCAGAAGGAAACTGAGTAACTTAACTAATGAGCTTGTGAAAATGGATGGCAGAACAGGAAGTGGGATGCATAGTGAAAAAAAAACAAAGATTACTAAGAGCTACAAGGGATAAGAAATTGTGGAGAGCCATGATTGTCTACATCCTGAAGGGATATAGAACAGAGAAGAAGCAGTTCAAAGGCAAAGAAAAACTGCTTCAGTCCTTGTAACTGGAACTAGCAGCCATACCCAACTGGTCGATCAGAAAAAAAAATTAAATTAGAATGGAGCAAAAACAGCATCATGTTTAGATGTAACAGTCTATCTTCTTCAATTACTTTAAAGTACTTTCATTAAAAAACATTTTGAATTAATGCAGTTACTGATATAACAGAAGTAGTCTGTATTTATTCAATCGAAGTTAGCTGAGGACATGAAAGAGTAAAACAAGCAACATGAAGACCCACTTCAGACCACAATTATTTTGGAGTTTTTGAAATTCAATTTGTCAGTGTGCTACCAGGGATGTAAAAAAGAAAGCAATTGTTAAGTTTGATGTGAATTGGTTGAAAGATCAATGACAAATAAGAAAGAAACTAGTAAAAATTATCATTTTTCACTATTTACGCAGGTTTTCACTATGTGGGTGGACTCAGTTATCAAGTTAAATGACTGTTAAACAACCAACTAATTGTTGGCTACAATTCAGTGAAGTTTGTATTAGATTGCTTGAAATTTGAGGGAGATTTTTTTTAAAAATTTGTGTTGAAATCGATTTTTGTTTTTCGCATTTTTTTTGCTAAACATTGGCATAGAAATAAATGAGATATCGTTGAGCTCGTCATGATGTAAGTAACCTACATACTGAGTTTGAATGAAATCTGAGGAAAAAAGTTGAATTTATTTTTTTGATTATTTTTTTAAAAATTATCGATATTTTTTTTTTTTTTTTTTATGCTAAGAACCTCTCTCTTATATTGTACAATGCATATGCAAAGTTTGGTCAAAATTGGTTGGATGGATCTGAAGTGAGAATGTATCCCACAGACAGATGCAAAAACATTCTCTGTTTTATTTATATGTATGTATGTGTGTGTGTATAGAGGGAGAGAGATAACTGTTTGTCTGATTATATAGGTAATTGTGACAGCACAAGTTACTCATTTTTTTCCCCCTTTTACCATGTCCTCTTTTCAGTTGTCTCTTTTCTTATTACAATGTTTCTTTTTTTTGTTTTCTTTACAGAATTATACTGTTACACTGAAGAACCAGAATTTCATCAGAATCTCAAAAGTTTTGAAGAGATTTTTGCATCAGAAGGTAATTCACTCTCTTGTTTTTCTTTGGTCTGTTTTTTTTTCTTTTCTTTTTTTTTTCATTCTCTAATCCAATTGAAACAATCATCATTACATAGATTATTCACTTAAAGTGTTTCCAAAAAAGGAAATTCTAATTTTTTAGGTTGGAGAGTAAGTGGCCATGGTTAAATGTAATTGGCAGAAATGCTCAACAAACAGAATTGACAAAGTTTGCAATAAACAATAACAAGAAAAGAACATGGGAAAAAATAATAGCAAACAAGCAAACAATATATGCAAGGCAAAATGACAGTAACATGGCAAGAAGTTCACAAACAAAGAATGGTGGTAAAACACAAAAGAGATGCAGAGAAGTGATCACAGCATTCTGGATTCAAGACAAAAAAGACTGGAACTGAGTCGAATGCAACTGAGTGGCCTATCTTATTGGCTAGGAAAAAATCTCAGCATGCATCTGTGTGGCTTTGTCTATAAATTGGACAATTGTTCCTATAAGGATTGCAAGCAATATATTCATTAACCCTTTGGTATGGTGTTCACTTCTTTTCCTAATTGGTTATATCACTCCATTTAGGTTCTCTGTATTTTAAAATTTTTTTTTTCATCTTTTTTTGAATTTTTTTTTTTAATCTTCATCCTGTACAAAGCCCAAGAACCACTTGAGGTAGAGTGTTACAGGTTAGGGGCACAGTTTATGAGGATATGTAGGGAAGGTAATGGTTAATCCTAGACTTAAACAAGTTAAGATTGTAATGATTAAGTATCCTCTTGGGAGCCAGTTTTACAAAGTAGCAGTTCTTTGGAAGAAGTTGTTCACATGGAACTTGCATTTCAATAATGGAATACAAAGAGAATGATGGTAGTTCACTATAATGTGTGTGGTATGGTGGGATTTAGCTGCGATAGAACTGGTGAATCTAAGGAATGTAGTTTGAACACTTTCCATGGAAATAGCGATAGAGCAGCGGTGTTTATCTGTGGGGAAAGGACTTGTGAGTGGAAAATAATTCATTACCCACAAGTACATGTAGATGGTTTTGAACTCTGTTGAGAGTGGAAAGTGAAGACTGGGCAGCTCCTGTCCATATATGACAGCTGTATTCCATTTTCATCTGGCTCTTGTAAAAGCAGAGGATACCCGAAGTAGCACAGAGAACTGACCATTTTACCAGTATCATTTGCAATAGATTGTATATACAAGTTCTATTTGAGGTTAGGGTATGCTTAAGTCTCAATAGGTGCTCAAGGCATGGGGCCTCCTGTTTATGATGAGAAATGAAAATTCAGTTCTTTCAGTAATGATGAAACCTTGCTAATTTGATAAGCTGATGGAAGTAGTACCATTTTATTTTGGAAGTGGGATGATTTTCTACTCATTTATAGGAGCATAAATTAGAATTAACAACTTAAAGTCTTAGTGATCAACTTGTATGACAGTACAGTAGATCATCTTTGATAGATTTGTTTCAATACATTTGAGGTGAAATCCAAGGATATTGGTGAAACATTTGAAAAATTTTCAAACAAACATAAACATTCTATTTTCAAAGTGTAATTAAAACTAAAAATTTTCTTTTTGTTTTTGAGAGATAAAAAAAGCCCAAATGTTAATAATAATAAAAATAATAATATACTTTTACAATTGGACTCGTATACTCACCATACTTGATATTGGCATCTTCAGTATTTTAACATAGGATGAAATCTGAAGGTGCATTGGGGTAGCAAAAGGTACCTTCTAAAAATTATTTTCTGGCTTTAAATAACCTACAAAGGGTTGATAAGCCATAGAAAATGAATCAATCAACCAAGCAGGTTACATTGAAAATATGAAGCAAATCTTTCTGGATATTTTATTCCATGACCCAAAATAATCGGAGCATGTTCAATTGGATTCATGTCAGGACCTGGTCATGGTTGTTTCACAATATGATAAGCTGTAGAAAATGAATCAATGACAATAGTGTAGTGTTCGGGGAAACATCCATCCAGAAGTTTGTTTCATAAAGTACTACTTCTTGGGACAAAGCTGTCTGAATGGAACTTCTTTCTTACAAATGGAAGACTAAGAGTGATTTAACTCTGTGGATGTAGCCTGGCAGGTCTTAGCTGTAATGGTTTGAACTGGTAGACATTAAAGAATAGAGCTCATCTGAATATTTGACATGGAACCTCTTCTCTATATATTGTTTCATGACTATTCACTTTTCTTGTGAATTTTTGTTTTGTAAATCCTGTTGACTCTTTGTTTTCTATTTCAACGCTTGCTGTTTAGGCTATAAACAATGGACAACTGCGACTGATACTCAGCAACGTAAATTTGTGGTCTTTTTACAAAATGAATTGGAAGTCGCCGATATGGAGAGACGGATGAGTGCAATACAGTCAGTCTTATATCTTGTGCAAGGTTTGTATTTTTTTCTATGCTATCTAATTCTTTAGTGCTTACTTTCCTATATGTAATCATTCATTTTCACTGAAGCCTATGTCTTTATTTACATATGCACATTAAGTATAAATTGCTGCATTTTGTGAAATGTATTTTATATACAAACAGGCTGATTGTCATTTGTCAATGTAATGTGAATACTACAGTTAACATATCAGGAAGTTCTTGGATTGTAGCTAAAGAAAAATCTGACACAGCTCTATTAGCTTTAATATTATTTAAATTTGACCACTGTCCCCTTCAAAATAATGTCCTTGGGAACATGCACAGTTCTTCTTTCTTGATTGGTGAGTAGTAACCCTGAATGCTCATCATCTTGAAGTGACAGTTGAACAGCCTTGAAATGCATGCAGTTTGTCAAGCCTTGTAAAGATTGCAGAGCCATTCCAATACAGTGTTACAAAACTTGTATAATGATTGAACACAAGTATATAGCTTGAAATTGGCAGACATTCAATCCACAGAGCATGAGGCGTATGTAGATTTCTTTTGAATGGTACAATCATAACACATGCAGCCTGGGAACTTTACAATGCCACCTCGTACATTGGACATTATTCATATTTCATCCATTTCACTGTCATGTCACATAGTCTACATCATTGATCCTCATCCACCATAGTGTTATGGCATACAGGGTGTTCCAAAAGTCATGTGACATTTGGCTGAAAATGTACACTTGGGAAAAAGCAACTAGAGAAAGTTATTGCTCTACTGTTGTATTGAGCCCTATTTTTAAATTAATGTTATGAATGTTTGAGTTTATATTTGATTCATTCTCCTTTCATTTACACAGACACACACACATACATATATATATATATATATATATATATATATATATATATATATATATAAAAGGAAAAAAAAAAGACAATAGGAAAACTGTAGTTTTAGCCAATGCTTTCCATCCAATGTGGACTTTTTCAAGGCAAAAATGAAATTAATTTATTGAAACAGAGTATCTATAAACAGTAAACAAAATGTCATTAGCAACTAGAAGAGTTGAAGAATTTAGAAACGCTATTGTATATTCATATGTTCAACTGAAAAATTATGTTAATTACTTTAAAGTGAACAAACATAAAGTAATTGATGTAATTTTTCAGTTGACCATATGGATATTTTTGTGATGTCAATGAACACTTGTCAATTTTGTGATGTCAAAAAATATTTGTCACTTTTGTAATGCTCATTGTAGCAGAGATTTTTTAATCACAGATGCAACTATAGTACGCTGTTGAACAATACTGCTGTCAGATGCCTTTGAATATCACTTGCACTAATAGTACTTTGCTTGAATAGTCCACCATATAGTGATCCTAATAGAAAAATAGTATAGTGAATAGTATAGAGGATAAACTAGAAATAGCAATCCGAATAGTAATACAGGATAGACTAGAAATGACGATCATTAGTTGTCAGCTACTTCCTACATATGTACATTTCCTCTATGGCATGTGGTCTACTTAATTCAATAATGGAATCGCCTGTGTTTGCTCATTAGCAATCTATGTTCAAACTCAAGTATCAGCTGTGACACTTTATTCCTATATAACAAATATACAATAGTGTTTCTAAATTCTTCTAGTTGCTAACATTTTGTTTGCTGTTTATAGATACTTTGTTTCAATAAATTCATTTCGTTTTTTTGTTGCCTTGAAAAAGTCCATATTGGATGAAACGCATTGGCTAAAACTACAGTTTTCCTATTGTCTTTTTTCCTTTATACATATCTTTTTCTACAGGTTAATTCTGAGAAATTTTTATACACCTGTGTGTGTGAGTATAAATGGTACAGCATTAGTATTTTAATAAGTGAATAAGTATTAAACTTTTTTCCAAATAATTCTTTTCACTATTCTTCAATTATGTTATTTTAAATACTTTGTTTTAATATTCATTTTTTAAGAAGTATTTTTATTTTTTTTACTTAACTTTTGAAAATTTTCACTTATTTGAATAAATGAATATTAACTTTTTCTTCATATAATTGTATTCAACACTCTTTGTTTAATTCAAAATTTATGGTTTTTATTTCATAACATTTAATAAAAATTTAAAAATTTGCTAAGTGTGCTGTGATATTTTCATTTGCTCTTAGGTGTGCCATTGGTTAAAAAGGTTAAGAAACACTGGTTTACATCCATCATTTCTTTCGGCATCTATTTTGTGCATGTTTGTATCCATTCTGCTGTCAAATATCATTTATTTATTTTTTATTTCTCAGGTGTGTTTGGAGAATGTGAAACAGAAGAAAACCAACAATACTGGTCAAAGAAAAATGTTTATTTGCTCTATGACTTGGGACTTTTTACGTCATTTGTTCAGTTACTTCACCTTGAAATGGAGTGAGTCATGTTCAGATTATTTTCTAATAACCATAAATTCTTCTTTCCTCTGAAATATTGAAAAATAAAAAATGTAAGAGTTGTCACAAAAGCTGTTTATAATTAGTAAAATTGATTAAATTAGCAAACAATTAGTAAAATTTATTAAATTAGTAAAATGGAATGTTATTTTTATCACTGTCTTTTCTGTTGGACAAAAGACTAGACTAAAATAAATAGACACTTTCATTTTTTTTAAATTTTTATTTAATAATATAAACAATTCCAGAATATTTTATTATTATCAGTCACTTACTTTGTCTGTTGTAGACTGCACATCAACATGAAATATTCTTGTCCACAAAGTTCGATCACCAACAGCAGAATTCAAAGAGTGACAGTCAAATCCAGTCCATAAGGGGACATTATCAAACCAGCATTTTGGCTGTCGACCTTTGCTTCTCTTATTGACCAATTTTCCTTCATATCACAATTTAATTTTTTGATCTGACCATACAGTTTAAGGACTCTTGATAACTGATGTGATTGGCTTAATCTTGGTAATGTTGAGTAGCTCATTGATAGATATTTATCTTATGTAAATTAAAATTTGTCCAACTTATCGGCTGATTTGAAAAGTATTATCCTTTTTGTAAATCTGATACATTCAATATGAATCTTCTCTGTTGGGATATCCAAGCAGGTTAGGCCATATCACCAGTTCCCATATGATCACTGAAGTTAAGCAATGTTAAGCTTAATCAGTACTTAGATGAGTGACTGCTTGAGAATATCAGGTACTTTAAGCTTGGATGTGTGATGTGCTGAATTCCAATTCCAGTCAGGTTCGTTATATTCACTTATGCGCCAATACACTTGGGGAAAGTATGAATCCACCTCTTCTCCCCACAACTATGGGTTAATTAGTAGGAGTTGTATTAGTAAATCATTATCATTTCCCTTAAAAAAATCTTACAGTCTAACAATATTTTCTGGCTTTAAATAGCCTGCAAATGGTTGATAAGCCATAGAAAAGAATACTGATTAGCTACAAAAGCATGTCTTTTAGATTTATTTACAATCTCTGGAATATAAATGTATAGAAACTACTGTGGCCATAAAATGAGGGATTAGTTTATATATTGATTGTAATATGGAATTGTTCCCCCACTTTAGATTCACATTATAATTTTGTGTCCGTTTATCAAATTCTGATTAAGTATGAATTGACCTCTTCTTCCCCCAGCTATGGGTTAATTAGTAAGACTTGTATCACTAAATCATTATTATCTCAAAAAAAAATTCTTACAATTTAAAAATATTTTCTGGCTTTAAATAACCTACAAAGGGTTGATAAACCATAGAAAATGAATCAATCAACCAATTATTGAAAATGTGAAGCAAATCTTTCTGGATATTTTATTTCATGACCCAAAATAATCTGAGCATGTTCAATTGGATTCATGTCAGAACCTTGTCATGCTAGTTTCACAAAATTGTTTTTGGAACATGCCATCCTTAAATAGTTTTTACTGTATGGCATGTACCTCTATTCTCTATGAAAATTGTATGGCTTTTGTTTAAGAAAAAATAAAGAATCTACGTATAATAGCACAAGCCCAACCTGCAGTACAGTTATGTTTTTCTGAATTAACATTTCTGACATGTATGAGACATTTTGAACAATTGCTGCACTTAGTTATGACCCACACCATTAACTGTAGGTCTGTGTGTTGCAAGCAGTTCAAACAATCTTCATTCTTATTCTACTCAAAAACTTGAGCCAATGAAAACTCACCTGAAAAGATGAAAATAAGCCAAATTCCAATTGTCTGTTCCTTATTCCAATTTCCATTGCTTCGTCTGTTAAAATTTGATTCAGTTTAAGATATGTCTCTGCTATACTAACTCTAGAATAGTACTGTATACACTATACCAGTACTTTTTAAACTATCTGATTTGGTGGACTGGCATTTTTTTTCTCAATGTGTCATGTACCTGTAATATTTTGTGGTAATATCAATTTATACCAGAAACGATATATGTAATGAATATAATAAAAGTGGACTATTTTTTTTTATATTCTATTTATTTTGCAAAAAATAATTCAACATCAAAACATATAAAAGTAACAAAAAAAAAAGTTTCAAATGATTCCTTAGCATGGCCTGGGCACTGGCTGCGTACCGGTAGCTGATGGTTCGTGTACTGGCACTGGTCTGTGGATCAGAACTTTGAGTAGCACTGCACTATACTATATCTACTGCCTTGTGACTAAACCTTTTTCTTTTTATTTTCCATCACAACTTAGGAAGGCAATTTTTAATATCAGGATCTAGTCATGGTAGTTTCACAGTATTTTTGGGGGGACATGCTATGCTAACAAAAATCATAAAAAAAACTGGTTGCCCTTCATTTATTGATGACTTGTATAATTATGAAGTTCACTGTTAAAAATGGAAATCCCAGTTTTTATTCTAGCTCATTCCACCTTCAGATTGACCAATCATCTGATTTTTCAAATCTGTAAACTCCTTTACTTCTGGAATATGAGGCATTGTGAAATGGTGGTGAGCTTATTTCTCTTGGGTTTCAATAGTAAATAGATTTATTGCTAATGAGTCTGTCAACCTCTGTCTATTGACAATCTGACATTTGTATAGAATGGAAACAAAATGCTATTCTTGTTAAAGGGAATTATCATTGTAACATTTTTGGAATTAAGTTTTGTTTGGGGGCTTTTTGTTTATGATGCTTTCAAATTTTTGTCATCTATAACATAAGAAACAATATATTTTTTAGTTGTGTAACCTGGTCTCTCTTTTGGTATGAGCTTTGTTATGGTAACAGAAAGCATTACTCAACAGGAATAGATAAGCTTCTAGTTACCATAACAACAGAATATAATAAAATATTAAAATAATAAGTAGTGAAAATCTGGCTGCTAAAACATTCTTTTTTTCCTATAAGCTTTTCTTTTTTTTTATATTTTTTTTTGTTTTAATGATTTAAAAAGCAGAATTATCTCTTACATGTGATAACAGAATTAAGTGTATAAAAATCCTTCAGAAACTATAACCTAATGCACTTACTTAAAATATGGCCGTCATCTTGTGTCGATATGAATTATGTTAACTTTCTTTGAATATTTTTACTTTTAATGATTTTAAAATGCACAATTCTCTCATAGATGTGACAATAGTTAAATGTGTAGATAAAAATCTCAGAGTACACCTTCAGAAAATATAACCAATGCAATTGCAAAATTATTTACAATATGGCTGTCACTATTTTTTATGGTACCTTATAGCTGGCCACTTGTATTTTAGGATACCCGTCTACTGGGGCGGCTAGCCAATCCCTATTGCAGACACTTGCTCAGGTGCATTTGTGTTTATTCAACACCCACAGAGCACACCTGTGGCTTATACTGCAACTATGCTGAGCAGACCTTAGTTACAGTTTCTGGGAAAGACTGTGTTATTTAGTGCGATCAACAGTTTGAACAAGGCCAGCACGCTCAAGCCTTCGGCCACAATGACTTGTGGTTTTGTGCTAGCATAGCTATCGACAAGCTCCAAGGGTTCCGTTTAGTCATTTTCACTCACAAGACTTGGGTCAACCCATGGTATGGTTTTTAGGCAACTTTCCAAAGTTGCCACACACTGGGATTGACCCCTCCAGTTTGATAACATCAGGAATTCTCCTTCCTGACAAATCGACCATGGTGAGATTTGAACCTGGGTCTCATAGTGAGAATGCAAACATTCTAACCAGTTGGCTACGTGCCCATATGGTACCAGTAAAATAATATTAAATAATTGAATTCATTGTTCCATTTTTAAATTAAGCTTTTCTTTTTAGAGCTTTCCTTATCTGAGGATCTCTTGTAAAAAAATAAATTTGATAAAATCTTTTAAACTTTACTTTTCTTGCTTTACAGAAACAAAACTGCAGTAAGTGCCGCTCTCAAGAAACAAACTTTATCAATTGCTGACAGCAAAGAATTACGGTAAATACAATTCTCTCTTTCTTGTAGAATGCTTGTTATATGCTAAATTTTATGTTTGTTGATTCTCTAGTTTGCATATCAAAGCAGATTACATCAGTATTTTAAATTTGTTTAACTTTCTACTTACTCTCAATTTTTGGACACCATCTCATGTGTGAACTATATTACTCACAATGCTCAAATATTTGTGGATGGCTCTCCACAGTTACCTTCAATTCTTCATTGTTAAGTGATGACTTATGACCAAAATCAGACTTGTCTTGGAGATCCTCATCACTAGAATCAAATTTTTTTTTTTTTTTTTTTTTAAATCAATGACACCTGGTCCATTCCGAAGCTGATTACAAACCCCCAAGCACTGAGTGGCTTTGACAACATGATGGCTGACTTTGAATTTCTGGAGCAAGCATGTCACAAAAATCATATTTATTGATCTTTGCTTCAATGATCTATTAAAGTAAATAACAATAACAGTAATCCAAAAATTCAAGCATCACTTGAAAAAAGCAGAAGCAGATCTTTCAAATGATTATGTATATGTTTCTTAGGAATATAAACGTTATAATTTCATACCCAAAACATAAACAAAATAAGAAATTAATGGAATTTTTTTAATATATATATATATATATATATATATATATATATATATATATATATAAACTCTCTGGGGGAGGAAGTGTGGGTTTGTAAACAGTGACTATTACGACAAGACTCTTTGGTAAAATGAATCAAGTCTTCTCAGTCACTGCGTGTTTATCTAAAAATAAATACGCTAAAATTCACCTTCATCCCTGCTGTCTTAGACAACTTAGTGTTAGAATCTCTGACTGACACCAATTCAGCTGAGTTTTGATCCTAGCTAGAGGCAACCGGATGTCTAGCCACACTGAAGAGCTGTGATACATCAAAACAGTCTGTCTGTGGATGACATATATATATATATATATATATATATATATAAAATGGATCCACATTTCTTTAAATAGTGTAATTGCACCATACCTTGCTGTAATGTCTTCTCATGGCTAAATAGTAAAAAAAAAAAAGCTTGGCTTACTAAGTTAAAAGGAATACACGTTTTGTTCTTTTTGATATGTACATTTTCTTTAATAAGAATTTCAATTTCTAGGCCAGTAGATATGAATTTCATTAAAAAAAAAACCCATGGGAATGCCTGTTGAAACATGTCTCCATTAAATATGTTTATAGTAATAAGAAATAATGTCAGTTTGAAAAAATTAATTACTTCAAAAAAAATAATGATATGCATAAAGAGAACGGAATGATGTGAAAAAAATGATCGTCCAACTGCAACACAAAAACGGCCATTTATTTTGTTGTAATGAAATAGTTGCATAGAACAACAAGGATTTATTATTCTTGGTTCTGAAAAAGTAGTTTGAAAATGACACAAATATTTAAAAACATTCTATTTTATTAGTAATTTATTAATCAAATATTATTTAATATAAGTAACTTATTTTGGTTAAATTTGCTTTGATTGTTTAATTCGAAATTAAAAAATAAATTAATTTTGAAATTTATATCTGAATTTTATTTCTGATCTGTTTTTCAGGCTAATTCTGAATGTGTTATACACCATGGTTGAAACAATGAGACATTTAGATGACGACGATGGTGAAGAGAAAAGTTTAAAGAAACAATTCAGAAATGAACTAAGTATGACTTCTTATAAAAGTCATTATTTTCTTTTTTTTTAAATTTTATCTTTATCATAATATCTAATAATTTGTTTTTTTCACTACTACTACTAGTACAGGGTGTTTCACAATTTTTTAAACAAAATGATCAAAGAGCACAAATGATAAAGTAATGGAAATTACATTTATTGAAAGGTAAAAGGATAACATTTTAAGATCTGCAACCATTTAGTCTCAAACATGAACCAAAAATGTCAAGAGGAGCCCCAGATTACATGCTCCAAATGTCCAGCGTTCAGTTGAATGCAAAGTTATTGATAATGTGAGCACATTCCTCTTGGGTGATCGCTTGAATCTTCTTAGTGATGGCTGCCTTGTAGCAATGGTGCAAGGATTGCCCTGGTAGATGTTGTCCTTGAGGAACCACCAGAGAAAGAAATTGGGTTCAGGTCAGGTGAGTGAGATGCCCATTCCACTTCAGCTTTGCAGCTGATGAGACGCTTCCCAAACTTTTCATGGAGCCATTAACATTATCAATGTGAAGAGGAGCATCATCCTGCTGGAACCACTGTTCCTCCTCATCCAAGGTCCTCACACTCCTTGAGCTCTCCCCATCTGAGATGCCACTGTGTTGTTTCAACAATTGTGAAACACCCTGTAAATAATTTTTTAATGATGGCATATTTCTAGTTCTTTTCCAACATCCAACTCATATGAATATTTCATTTTGCCATGTTCATCTCTAAAAAGTAATTCCTATTCCATTGTGTATTTGTTTTAATGACCAAATGTCTTTCAGCTTTCATTGTGTTAATTACAAATGCTTGTTAATTGGTTATTATTTTGTTTCTTTGGAATTCTGTTTTAAGAACCAGAAACAATAACTAATCAAAAAATATTTTTAGAAGTAATTTTCTAGGTCTTGGGTATAACCTAAAACTACACCCAACAATGGAGCCTCAACTAGGGGACAGAATTAGAGTACCCTGTACCATTGTTACCTATGGGTGATCTCTAGCTAAGATCTAGCACCTGTTTGCCCCCTACAGTATTATATATATATATATATATATATATATATATATATATATATATTTTTTTTTTTTTTTTTTTTTTTTTTAGGTGTGTGTGTGTGTCAACATTGATGTGTGTGTAACTCATACAAGGGAGGGTCAAGGAAAAAAGGAAGTTGGAAAATTTTTTTTTCCTTCAGGTGGATGATTAATGTGAATGGGATAACTGTAAGCAGAGCATGATTCTTGAGCGTGTTGTGTGTGTTCATGTATGTGCATATGTCTCGGTGGAGGGAAACAAATCGTTACTTACCACATCAAGCCGAGGAAGCTGCCATGTTCCTTACTAGATAGAAACTGTGGTTGAGTTTGTTTCCTTTATTTATGGAAGAGCACATATTGCTGGTGAACCAAGGGTTATCCAGGATTGGACCATAAATTGCCAAGGAATCAAAAGAGTGAGGATGGAAAAAATTGTAGTGTTGCATTGAGGATGGAAAAAATTGTAGCTAACGGAAGGTACACAAGTTGATAGCCAATCAGATCACCGTGGAGAAGGGGTATGATGTTGAAAGACCCGAAACCCCTAATGAACCTCGGCTAGAAACATCATTGATAATGTGTACCATAGATGTATTTTACGAAATGAAAGTGTTTTTACTGCTTCTGAAAATTGAAAGCCAGTCTGAGAATGAGTGCAGCTTGGTAAACATTTTGTTTTAAATAACATCTTTATTAAAAAGAAGAAAAAACAACTTTTATCAAGCTGTGGCTATATTCAAAAATTAAGGCTATGATCTTAGCAAACAGTATGGACATAATTAAAAAGAGGATGAAAATGGAAAATAACTATTGTAGTTTAATATGAGAAGAAGAGAGAGAAAACAAATATAATAATAATAATAATGATTTTTTTTAAATCCTTTCACCTCAAGCAAAGCAATACTAGGTTGCAAGGGGCTTGTGGGTAATTCAGTTCGCCTGTCATTTGCGATGACTGAAATGGATTAAAGTGCTTGCTTTTGTCCAGTCCTCCGGTCTACCAACTGAACTGTCACT